TTGAGTAACGCCAGGGAAGAGAAAAAAATCTGATTGATCTGTTACTTTATCCTTTAAAGGCGAAGGTTATCGCATTGTAAATTGAATCTCACCGACTATATGACCTTTCAGACTTACACTTTAGATTGAGTGATTGCACAAAGCTATCTGTATGTGGGTTTACGTATATGTATGCTAGAGGATGAACCCTATTGATTTAGAGCCTGACCCACGATAGCTATTCTATCATCTCGGGATTTCGGCCCGGATGCTAAAAAAACAAAACAAAACTTAATTGACATCAGATGTACAATACTTATCAGTAATGTGATCTTTTACAATTATTAAGTGAATGACATTAAGTAACCATTATCGCTGAAGTATTAAGTCTTCCACATCAATATTACTCGAAAAAAACCCACTACAAAACAACGTCGCCTACAACAAAAACAACGTAACTGTTAAAAGACGAATGATGTTTTAAATATCATTTCCGCGAAGGAATTCATATAAAAAAATGGTATCAAGAACTTACAGGTTTCCGTTCCAAACACCAAAGTCGCCACATTCATAAAAAACACAGAGTATCTTTTTTAATGTTGCAAAGTATTTACATTTGAAATGTACATTTGAACCTTCAAATAAACTTAGTCACTGATATTTCAAATAACAAAAGAATCGACAATTTTAAGAAACTTCATCGATTACTAAGTTATTAAAAGATGTTGAACCCGGCCATTGTTGGATCGTATTTCATGCTTCATTGGCTTAAACCAATCTAACGCATAAACACAATAGGCTAACTGTAACAACCGACGTATTAACAATAAAAAAACCTCATTTACAGCACATGCTAATTCAGTAACCATAAAGTTAAGTATAAACTTCACAGGCTAACAGTAAAGACCGACTCGCTAACCATAAAGTTAAGTATAAACTTCATAGGCTAATAGGGAAGACTGACTCGCTAACCATAAAGTTAAGTATAACCTCCACAGGCTAATAGTAAAGACCGACTTGCTATACATAAAGTTATGTACAAACTTCACAGGCTAACAGTAAAGACCGACTCGCTAACCATAATGTTATGTGAAGGGTGACTGTTCCAAAAGTCGATTAAATCCAATATAAATTAACCAGGTGATGCATAGTTTAAACCGCGTTTGTGTAACAGCATGATAGTTCCACAGGAATGTAATGCGTAACTTTATGTAAAGTATTGAAATTCGAAATGATATACATAACCTTATGTGACATGTGCACAAGTGGTAATTAAGTAGATACTAATTGCGATCCAGTGTTTATCCCTTGATGGGCCTATAGCCATTTTGTATTATAAATAAATATTATTGTATGAATTAGTCACTTCATTATCACTATTCTTGTAAACTGACACACTTTTATTGCATGTTGTATTATAGAACATTGATAGTGTCGAACTCTAAAACATGACGGTCGTGGAAGCAAAAGAAACTATTTATTAAATTTTGAGAAGTTTCAAGTTTCATGTTTCAATTCACGTTCTTTCCTAAAGAAGGGTTGTCGGGTGACGAAATGAATAGCAAATCCGGCTTTCACAAAGACGACAGGGGTTCGAGTCCCCGATCGGGGTGAAAGATTCTTGGTCACCTGCTCGGTCACGCTGGTTTTCTTTGGGTACTCCAGTTACCTAAAACGTAAGACCGTCTTCGCGGTTCCATTCACGTCATCACAAGAAATTAACATGAGTTGGAAAATTTGCTTGTAATTGTTGTAATGCCTAACACACCCATTTAAATCTTTCCTATGTCGATGTAAAATAACAAAGATATGACACATGACAATGACACTTAAGTTCGAAGAATAATCTCTATGTCTTATGTTTCTAAAAATCATAAGTTGGCAATAAAACTATGTATAACGCAACAATTTTGCACTTTTACTGTGTAATATAATACATAGTTATACCAGATAAATATTCATCGGTTTAGACAAACAAGTAAGTCGATGCAAGAAGCCAAACAAAGTTAGATTTTACCGCACGATGTAGCCATTTCGTTTATTTGAGACTCATCTGGTTTTTTATAATTATAATTGTTCAAGTCGGTTTATAGTATGTTCTGTAAGTTCACCCTACATAATAGTGAAGTTAGGGCATTTGTACGTTATATTAATTGAACCGTTTTCTTATTATATGTTGAATTAAAAACCACACACACAAAATGTGTATTACAATTTCATATGCATTTTTTTTTTATAAAAAGGTCATATCAACATGTTTATGAATGTTAGCATTGGAAACGCTTTCTTTCTAGAAAGAGAGTGACTGTTTAACCGGATGATCGGGTAGCATAGTGGATAACGTACTCGTCTTTCAACAAGGCGGCCGGGGTTCTAATCCTCGATCGGACAGGTATTGGGTAATATGCCCGACCACGTCCATACAGACAAAAAAGAGTGTTAATATAAGTTGGAAAAAATTTGTTCCATAACTTTTATTAAAATAAATAAATTTTACTCTTATATTTATAATTGCATTAGGTTTTGCATTCTTAACAACACTGACTTTTAAAACGACGTAAATCAGCTACCTTGCTTTAGTTAAGTCAATAATATTCTGTTAACATTTGTCACACTTGAACAGGATCACTATCACATGTGCATACATACAAGACGAATAAGACCAGTAGTTCCGGGAGAAAAGCGTTTTTTGCCTTATCGACGACGCCCGACATGTAAATTTAGACCAATTCAAGAAATGTCATATCTTAATAGCGAGAATCACTGTTGTTACAACAAGGCACTTTAATGAGTATAGCCAATAACATCCAACATGATCTCACACAAAAAAGTGACACATTCCTAAATAGGATCATGATGATGACCCTATTCGTCGGAAACCCTGCGTCATTTTGACATTTACCTACGGTACGACAATAATTGTGTTGGGTGTTGAAACATTGAAATATATGTATAGGGTATAAATTGAGATACCTATGTGGGTAGTGAAGAGTACGTTTAATATATCTAGTTATAATCAAGGTTTTCATTGGGAACGTCTTTGACAGAAACTTCAGCTCATCATATGTAGGTACATTCTATACGTGGGAGTAAATACACTTCCGAGCCTAAACATATTTAACTTTTACATTAGCTGGATTGGATATATGTTCATACATTTCAGAAGAAATCAGTCTGAAGTGCTTAATTTAGTGGGATTACACGCTCATATCCTTAGGGGATATGTTTAATGTCACAGTTAATCATTGCCAATTTATAATGCATGGCTAATTTAAGTGAGATAAGGTTATTAAATTTAATTGAAAAATATGGACAGACCGACTCAGATCTTGCATTTTCTATGTACATTGTACAAGGTTACATGATCGATATAATATATGGTTCTGGTGGATAAACGATGTGGAGTATCTGACTAAATTATTCCAGTTAACTAGGCATACTTATAAATATACAAGACAAATACTGCTAAAACGCAAATCCAGGTACATAGTTGTCCCTTTTATCATGTGTGGTACCCGTTATGTTGTCTACAGTCACTCTAGAATATTGCGTCGATGTCAGGTTATATGAGACAGTGCGTCTTAGTCGCGAGATAGTATCATTTGAATTGTAAACGTGACATGTAACCGAATAAGATGCCATTTTCATGTTATGGTTGATAAAAATAAACTTTCCTTGAGGGATAATGAGACGAGCATTAGTGTCATACTGTAGGTAAATGTCAAGTTGTGTGTATTATAAGGACATTTGGTAATGAAATTTAAAGTGGCCAAAAAAAAAAAGGAAAAGAGACTAACGTTAATAAGATGCAGGTTGATGTCGATTGTTTGCTATTAAAGTACAAATCCAAATTAGAAAAAAGTGCGGAATCCAGCAAACACATTTTAAACCCTATTAATTGCATCATTATCAAGAAACATATTAATTACAAATATTCTCACTATATGATGTATGTAAGGTGCAAAACTACTCTAACTATATGATGTTGGTAAGGTGCAAAACTACTCTCACTATATGATGTTGGTAAGGTGCAATACTACTCTCACTATATGATGTTGGTAAGGTGCAATACTACTCTCACTATATGATGTTTGTAAGGTGCAATACTACTCTCACTATATGATGTTTGTAAGGTGCAATACTACTCTCACTATATGATGTTTGTAAGGTGCAATACTACTCTCACTATATGATGTTTGTAAGGTGCAATACTACTCTCACTATATGATGTTTGTAAGGTGCAATACTACTCTCACTATATGATGTTTGTAAGGTGCAATACTACTCTCACTATATGATGTTTGTAAGGTGCAATACTACTCTCACTATATGATGTTTGTAAGGTGCAATACTACTCTCACTATATGATGTTTGTAAGGTGCAATACTACTCTCACTATATGATGTTTGTAAGGTGCAATACTACTCTCACTATATGATGTTTGTAAGGTGCAATATTACTCTCACTATATGATGTTTGTAAGGTGCAATCCTACTCTCACTATATGATGGTTGTAAGGTGCAATACTACTCTCACTATATGATGTGTGTAAGGTGCAATACTACTCTCACTATATGATATTTGTAAGGTGCAATACTACTCTCACTATATGATGGTTGTAAGGTGCAATACTACTCTCACTATAATTATAAAATTAATCTGGCTAAGATGAAGGTATCTTTGTTTTTATTCTATAAGTTTCAAAGTCACTTTCATTTTTATCCAGAGCAACGGAATATCACGAAGAAGATTTCTGGTCCGACATCACTGGATGATAGAATAGTTATCGCAGGAGCGGGACCTTCGGGAATACATATGGCGTATAAGCTTATAGTATGTACATAACTTATTTTTCTACCATTATTTTGCCGCAGTTGTTTTAAAAACGTTTAGCTCATTTCCTCAATCAGTGCACCGGTAACATTGTTATGATCGAATCAAAGTGGCCTCGTGATATGGTATACGGAAAGAGTGGAATCATATCGATATGTAACCATAAATTTATAAGAAAACTCAAAACCTTGTCTTTAGTTATTTAATAACTTTTGTTACAAATAGTAGGATTCCGTTTCTGTTACGGATGAAACGAATCCTCAGCGGATCTTCACTATTATCCTGGGAGACTTGGCTGTAAACAGAGGAAAGACTTTCATATAGTTTGTATGTTATAAAACGATTCACGAAGGAAGTTATCATTACAATAGAGTATAAAAATTTATAAAATCTAAAATATATTCTGTTTCATTCTAAGCATAAATACATTTAAGTATGTGTTTTGTTTACTTCTTACATGTGTATATAATTATGCGTGTATTCTTTGCATGTCTAGGTTTCTGTGTGTTTTCCTTCTTTATATGTTAGCTGTGTTTATTCTATATGTGTACACAAATGACACATCTCTTGTTGACTTTTTCCCAATAACAAAAATAACTTGCCAATTTCACTCAATAAAAAAATCACCATGTACGGATTATTAGGTCAAACAATTTGGAAGAATGACTGTCAAAAGTATATCCATTAGGGCGGTTTTTCAAGATGTTAAACATATTTCAATTTTCCAAATTGAATGCAAATCATATTGTTTTAACAATTTCCGAAATATTTTGAAGATTAAGTTAAAATTCATCTTATGAAAGTGTTTAGCATTCTGTAGAATCAGAAATACAAACCTGTATACTGAATGTCCATTTATTATAGAACAATGTCTACTGAGCCTATCAAACTCTTTTATTCGTGACTTACAATTGTTTAGAAATGAATCTAAAGATATTTGAATTTCTGTGAATATGACAGTATCAGCCCGTTTGTGTGTGTATAATAACATATATATATCGGTTGTGTGTGTATAATAATATATATATATCGGTTGTGTGTGTATAATATATATATATATCGGTTGTGTGTGGCTTGTTTTTGTATCTTGTATCTTACTTACTTGATCCCTTTATTTTCAATGTCAACTTCCGGTTTTTGGCAAGGTTTAAGTCAATGGTTTCCAATGTAGCTCCATTTTTCTTGACTTTGATGGAGTAGTCTCCCTTGAAATACCTCTTGTTCTTGTAGGTTTTTAACTTGCCTGTCCAGTTAGTTCTCCAGGCAGTGTTCACCAGATCTACGTACCTTTGGCCAGCTTCATTCAACTGAAATAGTTTGTACATGAATAATACGAAATTGTTGATATTGAAATACAAATTCAACGGCATATTAATGACCAGCAACGATTTCTCTCTCTCTTTTTTTTTTTTTTGCTATATCTTTATTGTTTAAAACGTCCGAGGGACTGAGATAGATTATGTGAAAGAATTTGCCTGACAATTGTGTAAACTTCCAATTCGATGGTNGGGGGGGGTCTTTTGGATGTTCTATCTGAATTGTGCCAATGCAAACCGTAATCCTTGTTCAATGAGGTAATTTATTGAAAGAAGAATTAGTTTCAAAACCTAGAATTCGCTAATCGGGAAAACGCCTATTTCCAAATTATTGATGTTTCCTCCGTTCCCTCTTAACGGTCACTGAAATGTATTCCACCTTATAATAACCTTTAAGCACGTTTAGTTTGGTAGCGAAAATTAATTGTATTACAGTGTACACCTGGCTCTTATCTCGTTGTTAATCTGTAAAATATTATCCTGACCCACCTGCTTGTATCCTTATTGCAATCAGCATTAATGGACTTCCGAATAGCGAAACATCCAAACATCCAAATACATATAATGTAACGGAGTAATAAAATATATCCAAATAACTGAATATTTCAAAAAACTACCATCTGAATTATGTAACATCTGCACAACCAAACATTCAAATAATCATACATCAAATTGCCAAAGATTCAAATAATCATATATTATATAACAAAATATTCAAATAACCAAACATTCAAATAACCAAATTATATTAATCAAATATCTGAAAAATCAAATATTCTAATAACCAACAATTTGAAAAACAAAATATCCCAAATAACGAAACATGAAAATAAATGTGATTGAAATCTTTACACCTCAAGGAAAAAGGAAGAAAATGATATGATGAAAATGACATGATGAAAATGAAATAAGCCAGTTGTACTGTATGTACAATCTAATGGAATGGTTTACTCTTAATACATACATTACTACTGTTTGAATAGTAATGTTTCTAACAATTACATTAATAAGCGCATCCAATGAAGTAGCGATGTGGTAACATATATGTTTATACACTGCGGTGTGTGACTCATTGACCTTTGATATTTTCCATTGGTCAACATACTAGCACGTGCTCTACTGTATTACCAAAACAAAACAGTTCACTGTAGCGATTTGAATAACCCAAAGGTAGTTTTATTTTCGTTTTTGTAGTGAACGTTTATGATAACGGATTTATCTTTTAACACGAACATGGTCTTGCTTTAGATATTCATCAAATTATATGTGATATTGCATATTTTGCGCAATAAAAAGTCCAACGAATATTAATTGCGACTCATGGTTTAAATGTAAACTTACATTCACGTGAATTCGTAAGTTCAAAATTACAACAAAGCTGCGATTCCACCTTGTGCATTGTGTATCTTCTGCAGCGTTACTGTCTAGAGTAAGATACATTACGATAAGGAGCCGTCACCGTTTAAAAACACCTCTCAATAGTGGTCAAAGTATATTCCCAGCTATTGTTTTGTGTGTGTTATATTATATAACAAATCTTAACACTACAGCCATTGCTCATAGCAAAGAGCAACGCCATAAACAGCGTTTACAGGAACCATCCGTGTTATTTGTAGATACCCCACCCCTCATGTTAAGGTATTGTTCACGTTGCAGGAAACTTTATAGGCAATTTCTGACGCCATAGCAGTAACCACGCCATATAAGGATCCGCACTAACCGTAGAAATGTGGCCCGTTGCTAGGCTTTTTTTTCTGGGAACACAGTATTTCTTACTTCAGAAACGGGCTTTTATTCTCAAACTTACTGTTATAGAGTTTTCTCCTGTCGCCAAGGTATTGTCAATTTCGTAGATGGCCTTTGACCAGAACCCCCACAGCAGCACGCCCTTCACCTTCTCGTGGCTAAAGTACAGGGTGAGGGCGTCCTCGATCGCCTGTGCTTTAGCAGTGACGTTAGTGTCGGTTACAGACATCTCTGTGACCCAGATGGGTAGACCAGCTTCTGCAATCTTGTCCAGTCGATACTGAAGGTATATGTATTTATAACATGGACAACATGTCTTCGGTAGTTCTACGATTGCATTCATTTTAATCAATCGATTACATCTCTCGGAATATAAAACTAGAACTACATTTGATTTGTACATAGTCTCAACGCCATTTTCAAACGAAATGCAAATATTAGAAAAAACACACCTTAAACATTCGATACATACTGTTTAACTTGTAAATGTAAATGTGATATTCGAGCTTAGAAATGAAATATGATACTCAGCATAAAATGTATACTTACTTTTAGCTGAGTGATGTCAATATCACTTGACGGTAGGTGGCTCTGTACTCCCACTCCGTGGACTGGAACCTGGGCGGCCAAGAAACTCTTGGCTTGGCTTGTAATGGCCTGTATGATGAAAAGTTTTTTTTTAATCTCAGAAATTGGTATCTTCATAAAGAACTGCGGCCTTATTGGTAAAACTATCATTCATTGGGTACACACCGTACACACTTTTATTTCTTTATCTGTTAAATCGGAAACAAAACATTTTTTATGACTGATATAATGCTACAGTAAGTTTTCACATTTTCCAACAACTATATTGAAACATTCATTTTTGCGCAAAAACAATTCTAAACATTTGAGGGGAAATATATAAATACACCTATCTATATAAATAATCTATTTAAGTCCCTTTACAGTATACTATGTTTATTTGTTGCATATAAAAATCATGCGGCTGTTTTCAAATATAACAAAATAGGGGTAAATCTTATCTTATTTGAATGTTATTCTGAATGCTGATGGGTGATGTATATTATGTTATATTAAATGTATGTACTTTTGATGAAACCATTGTCATAACGAAACAGTCAGCTGTAGCAAGATGATTCCCTGCTAAGGGGTGTAAAATAAGAGAACGCTGAGGTCAAAACTAAAACCTCATTCGGATTTAAAATCAAAGAAACTTTGACAAAAAATAAACAAAGGAGTGATTTACACGGAAACCCAGGACAGTACCAGAACAATAAACAATAACAGCAGGTGTTCAACAGGTACCTGCTTCATCGACAATACTTTAATGTAAATCTAGTACGAAACGTAGAGAGCCAGTGTAGAAACAACGAAACAGTAAAATACACTAATTAACATAATATAAATGCTAATGTTTATATTCCAAATAACCTCCAATTTTGAATCAAGTAAAACATAATCGAATCCCAGTGCTGTAAGTTTCAGTCTGTGTTCGATATCTTTAAAGAAATCTCGATATTCTGAGCAAGCGCATGGAATTCGAATCAACTTCGACATGTAAACATTGTGTGTAGGTATACTACTATCAGGAAGTGGGGATCTTTCTGTTTTATATATACCGTTGTGTAAGGGGCGTTGTTAACCACAGCGAAATCATTTAGAAAGAGTTGTGTGTCCGGCTCGGCTGTATTCATCTGCCTGAACATATCCATGGTGATGTTGACGTTCTCGGTCTTCCTCTCGTAGAAGTCGTCGTGTAGGGCCTCGTTGTTGACATCCCAGTGAGCAAGTCTGATTAATACAGTTTATATGTAAACATTAACATCCCAGTAGGTAATACAGTTTATATGTTAGCACTTAAATGGGCTAATCTGACGGAAGCAGTACATCTAGTCAGGTACATAGTCATTTTGGGGATTTACTTTCCATTCCTTAAGGTTATTACGGATATCTACAATAGAACTAAAAGGTCTGTCTTACATAAACGACTTCAAATAAGAGTGGAGCTCCCGTAACACATGCGTTCGTGAAGAGCTTACTTCCTGGACATACGTTACGCTTATGTTATTATTTTGTCCTGAAGTAGCCGTCCTATGAGGGAACATGAAGTATACCCTGGAAACATACTATTGAAATTTAAAATGTTAATTTAAATTTTTTCTCCGATTATTTAATTGTTGATTGCGACGGTTAGCTGTCATTGTTGATGGCTTTCATAGTTGAAGTAAGGGTTTTATCTGGGATTACAGTGTCGATATTTACCATCACGTGGTCAAATATATAGTCTTATAAGGTGGTTCAAGTGAGAGTGAAAGCTATTTTTCAATCATATGGATGGTAATTTTGACATTCTAGTTTTTATTACTATAGTAATAAAGTTAACTCTAGTTTGATAACGACTTAGATATGGTAACAGCGGACAGTATTTACCTCCCTTTGGTGAGATTGCTAGTTTGGGAGATCCTGTCCTGTATGGTTTGCGTCATCACGTCCTTGTCTGTGATGCTCTGTACCCAGCTTGGGACCCACTTTTCCACGCCCCAAAACACGTTGTGACCACGGACAGATACCCTACAAGCACCTTAATGATTAATAGCCTAATAATTGTTTACGTTGTTGCTATGCTACATAAACTTGATGTTTGTTTGTTTACAACATTGCTATCAATTGAACAGTTTGTTAGGTGTGAAATTCATTAAGCCTCGAGTATTGCAAGAAATTGATTACAACTCATTGACACTTTTACTGCTGTGTAAAATATAGTGTCTTTATGTTTGAAACATAACTTCACTATTTACAAAATGTATATTTTTTATGAATTTGTCACCATCAAGTGTATTCCTCTTTCCGTACTTACCCGTTACTTAATAGGTCATCTATAGTTGCATTTGCGTCATCAAATTTTAAATCCCCCTGTAAATAACAATTATCAATTATCGAAACAAGATTGTATAAATTGAGATGCATTCTTGCAGTATAATATATTTTAATTATGATTGCTTTCTTTGTTGCGATAAACATTCATATTTTCATTATAAGTTACCAAATATCAATATTTCTGTAACCATGACGTAACCCGGAATGTTATCTCCGGCATGGGTTATATTGCGTTACTTCATTAATTACACCCTAGAGCGGTACTCTATTAGTTTGTATGTAAAAAGTTCTTTCTTGGTTATTATAAAAATAACTATTACCGCCTCAGTAAAAATGGACTATATAGAATCCTCAAGCAGATCAAGAGTTAGGTACTTTACACATTCTATTCTACGTATTGCTATGTTTATACAACCTCAATAAAAATTGCCCTGTAGCTATATACATGATGGGAAAGTGTCGTCCTCTAGATGAACGATTGTCAAATCTTGTTTATCAATTCAATGAAATAACACATGTTCAATGTTAACAATTTAGATACCAAACATCTTTAATGAAACTCCTAAAATTCAAAATTACGATTAAAATAACGTGGCGCCTGCTTAAAACACCGCAACTCGTATCACGAAATAACGTTTGCGTTTTTTATTTATTCATTCATATTATTATATTTTTGAAGATCCTCGATATTTCGAAATAGCCTATTTTTTACCTATTCCTTTATTTTTTTTTTATTTTTGCAAAACATGATAGAATATCTATCGTCATATGGCTTGTTGTCAAAAATAGAAACCACAAGAAAAGTTCCAATGGTAGACTCACCTTGTTCCACTCCATGCCCCTCCACTTGAGGGCGTTCTCTATGACGGCCCACTCCGACTTAAGCGTATTGTAAACAAAGTCTCTGTAGAAATTGTAGGCCGCGTCTGTCCACAAACTGGCTTTGACAGCAGTGCCGTGTCCAAACTCACTGCGTCTTTGTTCAACCTATCACGTCAAATTGAAACTCAATCAGATCAATAGTCAAAACATCAAGCGTTGTATGTTAGTGAAATACATGTGTTTAATTTTATAGACTTTTGCGTTATCATTATATGTCTTTACTTATTTTCCTTACTAAAGGATAGTTAAGGTAAATAATTTGCTTTACAAACACAGAATATTGAACAAAACGAATGGAAAGCAAATGTTTTGATGATTGATTACAAACCTCTATGGTGAAATCCTTGAGAGAAACTCTTTTCACTTTACGAGTTCTGAAATTTAATTTTATAATAGAGTACCACAGATGACGATATGAATTTATAAACAAAACGATATGTTAACTAGTAGATGAGGTAAGAAGATGTTCAATTTAACATTTTTTCATCGAGTTATGTGTTCATACATTTCAAAGAAATAAGTATTGTCTGAAATCGGGGTTTGTGTGTCGCATAAACTATATGTTAATGTAGTATGTAGGTCATTGTTCATATTGATGTTTGCGCGAGGTCATGCAAAATCCGTTAACAGTAAACTTTAAAAGTTGTACATGAAACATATACTGAAAAGAAATCTAGCTGTCTGGAATCCTGAAGCTTTACTCTACAGTTCGTTGTCGTAGAGCTTGTGTTATTACCTTCATCCACTGTACAAACAAGTTTGTGTTTATTAAGTGATAAATATATGTGGCATCAGAGTAAAATAAATATAAAAAAAACAGAACATCTGTGAACGTAACAACATGTTCAGTGAAGAACTTTGTAAATATAACATCTTAATATATATTTATATACAATGTCATTTGACTTAAGTACAAGTTCACTTAACTTGAAGTCAACATTTGCGATAAACAGATTGAAAAGTAAACCTCTTTCATTATACATATCACAGTAATGGTTTATCTTATTTATAAAGTGATGTCTGTTCCACTAAAAGCTTCCCAACATTTAAGTCACCTTGGTATTTACAGTCGTAATGTACTCAAGCAAAGTAATGCCGTTGGGTCTGGTTGTGTCCTTGTTACGCTACAGCAGGTTATGGTTATTTGAATTTGACATTATGATACGTCGAGGTATCAAGTGTTTGGTGATTTTTTTATTTTATTTTACGGTAAGGAACACAATCATACTTAAAAATCTGTTTTTTGTATTGGTTGGTTTTGAAATGTCAGCGAAGAGAAAGCTGCATCATTGGCATAATACAATGTAGCTATCCCTCTGATAACATAAACACACTCAATGTTGTATGCATGCTCTAGACTCTAGTGTTTTGTCAACCTGCCATCACAATGTATTGACATTTAGCTCTATCATTTTATATTGATATAGATATCATTATTAGACTGATATATCTATTTAAACGTTTTGGTTTTCATTGTAAACCACGTTTATCCCATTCTAACCATCGTTCTTGTAGCTTGATCCATAAGAAAAATTCATTGCTCACATAATATCTAGTTTGACCTTTCGGTTGAGGTCAATGTTGTTCTCAGCTGTCGCCCTCCAATCAGGATCCGGAATGAGCTCTACAAGACTTCCGTCATCAAAGAAGTAGTTAACGTCCTTTTGTTCGATCTGTATGTAAATCTTAATTTCTTTTATATCTGAAATAAAATATCAAAACCGTGAAAAAATGGCATCTCCGAATTATCTGCAATAGAAAACACAAATAATGAAAAATATATTTTTTCTGTTTATATTGGCGTAGAACATTGAAACTCAAAGCGTAGCATGAGCTGTAATCCTTAATACAGAATGACAGACCAAGTGACAATGCATTACCTTTGATTCAACGAGTATTGTTTGAATTAAGTTTTCTTAACGGTTGGCACTTTTTCAGGACAGAACCAATTGAATGATAACCACGTGGTTGTTAAACCATCACGAATGTTCGTGATATTATCTTGTATCTGTTTGCATCTATACCATTCCCGACATTTGTTTTACATCTAGCCTATACGTATGTTCATCACCAAGGACACCTATTAAGATATACGAAACTGTCTGAATGGTTTAAACCTTTGTCTTTTCAACATGAACTTACCACTGGGGAGTTTGAAGTCCCCACCTATTTCTACCCAGGATCCTGGTTGGACACGGGGCTGCCAGCTCAATCCCTTGTACAGCACACTGTCTGTAGATAAAGTGTTCAAGGGAAGCTTATAATATGGTTTATCATACAAATGTGTAGACTTCAGTTTGAATGAAACTTCTTAATGTTTTTGTCATGTCATATCATAAAAACAAAGTTATAAGGAGTCTGTAATGTTGCAAAGGCTTTACATCAACGTTAGATACCTGTACAATTCCATCTCAATCAATTAACAATATAACAATTTACAAGTTTGACACTTTAAAACACTAGTGTTCGCTTGTACTTACCGTCTTTAAAAGTTTGTCTGACTGTCACTTGTACATTATGGTAAGAAAATCCTGAAGCGAGGTTCTCTAACTTAATGTATCCGGAAAATGCATAAATTTTTCCGGAAGCTATGCCATCACTTAGTCCAAGTACGTATCCAAGGCCAGCCCACTTTGCCGTCCTGGTGTACAGGATTATAAACAGCATTGTCGATTAAGTAAAAGAGCTAATCAGACAGCGAAAATAGCAAGTATAGCGTCATTGTATCTGACAAAAAGAAAAACAGATAAATAAAACTGCCAAAATAACACTTAGTTTGCAAAGCCATTGAAATGACAAAAAAGAAACTAGACTAACAACAGGACATTACACAGCAAGATTAAGAAATAGTGAAACTAGCCTAACAGAAAAAGACATAGACAACGATAATAATAAATAGAGAAATTAGACTAATAGATAAAGACATAAGACAGCGAGAATAAGAATAAGAGAAAGTAAACTAATAGATAAAGATGTTAGACAGCCAGAATAAGAAATAGCGAAATTGGACTAAGAGATTAAGACAAAGACAGCGAGAATAAGAAATAGAGAAATTAGACTAACAGATAAAGACATAAGACAGCGAGAATAAGAAAAAGAGAAAGTAAACTAATAGATAAAGACGTTAGACAGCCAGAATAAGAAATAGCGAAATTAGACTAAGAGATGAAGACAAAGACAGCGAGAATAAGAAATAGAGAAATTAGACTAATAGATAAAGACATAAGACAGCGAGAATAAGAAAAAGAGAAAGTAAACTAATAGATAAAGATGTCAGACAGCCAGAATAAGAAATAGCGAAATTAGCTAAGAGATGAAGACAAAGACAGCGAGAATAAGAAATAGAGAAATTAGACTAATAGATAAAGACATAAGACAGCGAGAATAGGAAAAAGAGAAAGAAAACTAATAGATAAAGACGTTAGACAGCGGGAATAGGAAATAGAGAAATTAGACTAACAGATAAAGACATAAGAAAGTGAGAATAAGAAAAGGGGAGAGTAAACTAATAGATAAAGACATAAGAAAGCGAGAAAAAGAAATAGAGAAATTATACTTACAGATAAAGACATTAGACAGCGAGAATAGGAAATATAGAAATTATACTAACAGATAAAGACATAAGACAGCGAGAATAAGAAAAAGAGAAATTATTCTAACAGATAAAGACATAAGAAAGCGAGAAAAAGAAATAGAGAAATTATACTAACAGATAAAAACGTTAGACAGCAATAATAAGAAATAGAGATATTAGACTAACAGTTAAAGACATAAGACAGCGAGAATAAGAAAAGAGAGAGTAAACTAATAGATAAGAACATAAGAAAGCGTGAAAAAGAAATAGAAAAAATAAGACAAACAGATAAAACCATTAGACAGCGAGAATAAAAAATAGAGAAATTATACTAATAGATAAAGACATAAGACAGCGAGAATAAGAAATAGAGAAATTATTCTAACAGATAAAGACATAAGACAGCAAGAATAAGAAAAAGAGAAATTATAGTAATAGATAAAGACATAAGACAGCGGGACTATAAAATAGAGAAATTATTCTAACAGATAAAGACATTAGACAGCGAGAATATAAAATAGAGAAATTAGACTAACATATAAAGACATAAGACAGCGAGAATAAGAAATAGAGAAATTAGACTTAGAGATAAAGACATAAGCCAGCGAGAAGGCAAATTACATAGAGAAATAATACCGCAAGAATGATACGTAGGTAAATTACATAGACCGCAATAATTATACGTAGGCAAATTAAAAAGAAAAATAAGATGCAAGAATGATACGTTGGTAAATCAAACCGCAAACATATCATGTATTTAAATGAGACAATGGAAATAAAACATAAAACGTAGTGAAGTCAGATCGCCAGAAGGGGCATTTTTTGTACGCATAATGATAAAGTCAAATGGAAAACATTATCATCATGGTATGGTCATCACATTAAAAAGTACCTGCTGGTGACATGAACACTCTGAGATCCACCATGTTCCTCCGAGGTGCTTATGGCCCAGGAACATCCCGACTTACTCCAGAAGGTCCCTAGGGTAGCTGCCTCCAGGTCTCCGTTCCCTAGTAAGTTAGTACCAACCACTCCCACTATGTAAGTCCCCGTAAGGAGGAGATGGAGTAGTAATGACGCCATACGTCCTGTCTAATACAACAAACAGTTCTGACTGAATATACACTAGTGGGTATAATATATTTATGTGTCTGACCCAATTTTAATTCATATGTGTATAGCATTCCAAAAATACGTTCTCAGATCTCATTGGATGAATATCAGGGGACAAATACATTAAGGGTTTAAGTGTTCAGGTTTTGTCTTGAGGGTAAATTGATAACATGTTATGAGAGGACACCGTCAGAGTTACTGCGCCGTGGTCACCCAAAGTGCTGTTTATACAAGTTTTCAGGTTTTATTCGAACTTTAGGCCATTAGCCATCATTATACAATACATATTATACACAAATCATGGACAAAGTACAGAGAATGAAGACAATCTTATTCCATTATGATACCCTTAATTTGTTTGCCTCATAGATGAATTTTCCTAGTATACACAATTCTTTAATATTATGGACACTCAATAACTGAACGACTTTAAACACAGATGGTTTTTTCCAATAATATCTTTTGATAAAACGTGATCTGAGATTTTGGAATTTAGAACAGACTAATAAAAATTGAAATGCATCCTCTACTTCAGAGGGGGAGTTACACTGTTTACAATATCTACGTTCTCTAGGTAAATGTGTAGATGTACGGATTCGAGTTAAACAAATGCGATATTTCATTGGTATATATTTTGTGAGGTAAAATTGTAATTATTCTCCAAAATCTATGATATTTTTATACAATAAACATTTTGAAGAGTTTTCCACTGAGGCCCTTAGGGATTGTATGCCTTGATCAAAAAATGTTTGTTTTATCAATGGTAATAAAATATTATGCTGAGAAATACATGGATTTAACCAAACATCACTAAAACCTAGATTACTTAATTCATCTCTTACTGCTTTAGCCTAGTTGAAATCATTTTTACTACAACATTGTAATAAAAATCTATACGAAGTGGATATGATACAATTTTTAAGATTTTAAAATCTTAAACCAATATTTCATCGTCAACCAATAGGTAATCGTCCCAATTCAAGATATACCATATTGTTATAGGCCGATTTCTTCACTTTCAGTAATTTCTTACAAAAATGTAAATGTACACGTCCAATGCTGGAGCTTTGTGCTTACACCAAATTTCACTTGCATGAAAAAGGATACTGCTTACATATGTATCGAAAAGGTGTAGCATAGTTTTTACATTAACGTTTAATGATGAACACTTTGAAAATAATGCAAACATAGCTTTTCGTCCTTTTCGTATTTGTTTTTGGATAGAAGTGAATATATTATTATATTTTAGAATAACGCCTAGGTAAGGAAATTGATCCACACATTCGACTTTACTTCCTTTGTAAATACCATTTTTCATCATTATGTAATCTTCCACATTTTCTAAAAACTACAATTTTATTTTTTTCCGCATTTACAGTTAAATTCAATTTTGTAGAGTATTCAGAAAGGTTGTCAAGAAAAGTCTGCAGGCCCTGTACAGATTCCGAAAAAATAACCAAATCATCTGCGTACATTAACAGAAACAAACTTAACTCACCGAAGTCGTAATATGTTGCACAAACCTCACCGGTACCAATATATATATCGCTGTGGTTTTTTCATAGAACTTAATGTGAAACCTTTTATAAGTTGCAATTTTATTTGTCGAAATGAAAGTAAGTTATAAAATAACTGAAACGTACCTAAAAGCATGTTAATTGAACCCATTTATGGAAATGTAAAAATTTAAATATGTTTATAAGAATTCAAACATTTTCAGAAAATTTAATTATTTAAAAAGAAAAGTTTAATGAAAATTACATTTTTTTACAGCACTTTTCATGTTAAAAAATCTCGTTTATCTTTAAGCGTTTTTGACTGGAATATTTCACTGAAATATAAACATTCAACAAAATCGGAAACAGTTTATGGAAATATCGTGCTATTTTAGCGTGTAATCGTTCATATTATGTATGTTCCAGCTTTGTGCCACTGACAATGATTATATATTTTTCTTTTGTATGTTGTCAACATTGCTATGATGTCATCAATTATCTTACTCTATGTTCTCCGCCATCTTACATAAATGGATTGTAATATTTACTTGTATGTACATGTATATTGTAACTCCTACATGCTATCTGTTGCATTTGGAAATAAAAACAATTGAAATTGAAATTGAAATTGAAATACACCTAACACTAGCTTGAGGGGACTCGGGGTAAGTCGCATATCTGTCAGTACATCTGTACTGTCAGTCCCACATCTTGACCACACACCCTGAAGGCACTTGATCTACTAATAAAGTGTGAAATGATATACGTTCAGTACTTATACAAATAATCATTCTACGGCCAAGGAACAAATCTTTTTTATTTACTCTACCAAGTATAGTGTAAAATTAATCGCAACAATATGATATGAAAATATTCATGTTAATGATATAAAGAACACAAAAGGACATAAACCATGACATGTGCTGTATACGGGTCACAACATGTGGACTCCATAATGGTATCTCCAAATAGTATATATGTCATCATATATACTATATGGAGACACCATTATGGAGTATAATATAATAGTAACCGTTGATCATGGTACACTTGGAATACTCATAGAAATAAGACATCCGTGTAAATGTTCTTTAAGCGAATTACAATGTACGTCCTGAAAACATGTTTCAAAATAAATCAAATATGTAACACATTTATCTAAATTTTGAAATATTATCGATTTTAAAATACAATATACGACCCTCTTTTACCACAGTAGTAAGTTAGATGTACATGAATTTAGATTAAAAAATTTCCAAAAGAATCCATATACAAGGATATGTATACCTTATCACCAGCCCCAGTTAACATTTCATTTGATTGCATTTAACTCCTGGTTGAATGGAACTTGTGTCAAACCACCCCTCTGGGTTTTAAAATCATTAAAATATAACGATTTCGTTATTTCGCATTGCAGATCTTGTTGAAAATGTCTAGTGTCTACGATCTTGTTGAAGAGTGTCTTGTGAGGTATAATGTCTCACGTCTCGTGATGTGAAATATAAATGTCTAGTGTCTACGATCTTGTTGAACAGTATCTTGTGAGGTATAATGTCGTGATGTGAAATATTTTATATCCAGTTATGTCAAATATCTCGTGTCTAAAATAAGATTGTCTCGTTTATATAATGTCTTGTGTCTTGTGATTAAAATTCTCAAGGTCAGTGATGTTTAATGTCTCGCTTATTGTAGATAAAACACTCCCAGGTACACTTACAGACATACCACACATAGGTACAGTGACATATCTATCACTCATGGTATGCGACACAAAACAAACACATTAACGGTTACTTAAAAAAACTACACGAAAACTACAAACTATAAACTACAGTTACTGCTTGATATCTAGATATGTTAAATATGCAAATATTGTATTATAGTGATATGTATATTTTTCATCTTAATCATTCAACATCAGATATAGGGCCCTTTTTAACTAAAATAAATTACTCTACGAAGTTTTACAGTATATGTACATATACATATATAATTCATTAAATCAATACAATATACCTATTAATACTAATTTTAGGATGTAAAGTCCCAAATTAAGCGTTGGCTTCTCTTTTGGAGTCCTATGGAACCTTGTTAATAGCGTGTTGGACATGTACAGTCTTCCGTTTTGCGGTCGCGACGAAATGCCAAGTGCATCTTTCTTCAATATTGCTATATCACTTTACGATTATTATTTTTTTGATCATTTGTGTAGCCCACTTTGAAGATGTACATATAAAAGAAAGTGATAGTCTATTAAAATAAGAATTTTACGAGTTATTTGCAAGAGTGGAGTCAAAAAACAATATTTGTTTTAGATTTTGAAAAGAAAACTAATTAAATAAATAAATGATAAATAAGTTCAAACAGAAATAGGAAAAGGGAGTTACACTAGCATTTATCTTTTTTCTCTTCATCGACAAAAGCTCTTGTTAATTGTTTTTATCTTCTTTTTTTTCTGAATGATAAAATCGATGCTGGCATTTGCAGGTCAGAAACATGGGCAGGGCCTAAATAAATTTTGTTGGGGACCGATATCGATTTGACAGGGGATAAAATGTACGCCTTCATAGGATACGTCCGTCTGGAAAACCTTCCTAGTGGAGCATTGTATGTGGAGGTCCAGGTGATGATGGAACAGACATTTGTTGACGGTATGGATTCCTACTACTGTATACTAAATGACTTGTATAATACCACACAATACCGATTTTGTTATACTTCAAAAGACAGCATTAAGAAACTTTCCATAAAATACCAACAGTTAGAAAGGAATATAATATAGGTTTATAATTAGGAAGTTCCAAAGAGAAGAAAACAGATACATGTACGTACATGTACTTCGTAAAAACACGCTTGATTAGATTCCTATAAGGTTTTGAAGGTAATCTTGGAATTTTATACTGTCGCAGTAACTTGTTATAAACTTCGGCAAATTGTACTTGGCTATATAATTTGTAAAGTTTGGTTGGAAATTGAGTATGTTTTGAAAGATGACTTTTATTATTATCCAATCAAGATATTCGGTTAATAAGGTTACCATAGGGACACTGTGTTAATCAGACGTTATAACCCCACTTAATTAAGTGAGGTTAGTTATGGCACCATCTCATCCAGCTGTCAATTTTTGTATTCGTCTGTCCTTTCTGTTTTCCATCCAAAATAATCTAATTTCAAGCCTCTTTTTCCGCATCTTTGCTTTTTTGCATTAATTAGGTAAGATGAATATTCATAATCTTCCCCAGATCCGGAAGTGAAGAGTAACTGCTAAACTTACAGTTTACACTTGAGCTAAGAGACCTTGTGATTCTTTGGAAATGGGCTATCATCAAGACGAGAAGACTCTATCGCGCTATTTACGTAAGGTGATAAAGAATAAAATCACCCCAACCGTGGCGCCACACAACCCGAGATAGGGATGTAGCATAACCTTAGACTGAGATTAAAATAGCCTGGTCTCACTCAGTTACAGGGAACTACTAGAATTATTTTTTTCATCCTATTTGTTAAAACAAACACATCACGATGTTCACGATGTTCAAGAAAAAAGTGCCCAATACAAAACTGCTATATGCTGTTTCTTACCTTGGTCTGCATTCCTCTTCACTGCCGATACATATGTGCTCTGAAATAAAGCATATTTAAATACGAAATTTATTATCAAGTGTTATATTCATTTTTTCTATATTGATGTGTACAAATAGGCAAGAATACAACATAAGAAACAAAAATGGTTTCTGGAATTGTTTTCTGCACTGACAAGTTTAACCGTATTGTTTAGTAAAGATTAATGGAGTGAAGTGCGTGTGTATATCTGGAACGATTTCTGAACGAAATTTATTGCGCTATTTTGGAGATACAGTTCTATATTATTACCGTCAACTGTCAACATACTGAAAAATAATTATATGTCTTATGTTTTACAAAAAATCTTTACAGTTGCTCTGCATCCTTCCATTGTAATGCATTGAGAAGGCAAATGTTGTTGTGAGACTATAACAACAGTTGCTAAAATAACGTCAATAAATTCTGTTGTTAAAATATTCATTGCTTAAGTATTAGTATTTTAGGGTTGTTTTTCAAATTTACCATAGACACTGTAATGTTAATGCATAAATCACAGTCGCATTAGATTATTCCTATGTTAATTGCAAAAATATTTTCGTCCACTAGATCAAAACCAAAATACCATTCAATCTTCAACAATAAATAATGAATAACAACCTGTTTTGGCATGGACCACTACGGTGCTATCCTGTGTGAGCGAGATGTTGTGAGATCCCTTTGTCACTCCGTTCTGCTTCACATGCACTGTGTAGTCTCCCTTGAAACAAAGTTCTTGGCTCAGAGACGCGAGGGGTTTGGTCCAGTTTGTCCTCCATTGTGTGTTCACAAGCTCAATGTACTTATTTCCTGCGGTGTTCAACTGTAAGTGCAAAAATATGTTAGATCAACCTTCTATAATTTGAGGAATGGAAGCAACATTGATAGAAACAAATCACATATTGTCAACTTCCCTTGCAGTTTAGGTTATTACCAAATGATGTACTCTTCTGCGGTTTAAACTACGTTCAAGCCTCGTTTTGATTTCGTGTAACGGGTTTTTAACAAATAATGATCAATTTTAATATATAATATATGTGTATAACTGTTTTTTCAAAAATTTGAATAAAAATACCTATTCGGGGGCCATTTTGAAAATGCGCGTTTCTTGAACTTCACGAAAGTGGAAAAGTATGCATTATTGATATTCATTTACATATTTAGTGTAACTGAAGCAATTTTTTTTTACCCTGAAAAAGGTGAAAAATGGGACAAAAAAGAAGCACATGGACCCCCATTTTTATGTCTGTTTCAGAACAAGAAACACATTTCTTTTTAACTCATTAAATATTACAAAAAGTTTGATAGCAGAACTTTTTTATATCAATCGTTAAACCTGCTAAAACAATGTAAAATAAATGATTATTTTTTCATTACAAATTAATAGTTTTTTAGGTAAAAGATTATGATTAAGAATTTCTACTTCCATAGTTTTAAAGAAAAGACTATTTTTTATATATTCTGCAAAACTTCATACATATCTGATGACATACTTGGAAGATATTGTTAGAATTTGTTCTGCGAATGTTCGAATGTCTTTGATCGATCAAAGTACAAAAACGAACACACGGACAAATGTTTTGTTTTGCATCTTCTACTTCCATTAATTGTTTTCTCCAATATACACATAAGAAAAAGATTAATACAGGAATGATTTTACTTCTCGGAGGTGTACATCCTTAAGTAAGAAAAAGCGACGACTTTGTATATAAATGTGTCGCCTGACCTATCACCGTTTATACAGGTAATGCTCACAGTAATCGAATTAGAAGATCCAGTAGCCAGGGCGTTGTTGGCATCGTTGATTGCTCCAGTCCAAAATCCCCATAGCAACACCCCCTCTACCTTCTCGTGGCTGAATAGCATAGTCAGAGCTTCCTCTAGAGCGGTAGTCTTGGCTGTGATGTCTGCCTCCGTGATGGACAACTCCGTTATCCAGATCGGGAGTCCGGCCTCAGCAAGTTTGTCCAACCGATACTGTCACACACGTCAATGTCATCAACAATTTGATTTATATTTCATGCACATAAGAGAGATTTCATTAGAAGAGTATCAATAATGTTACGAATAAAGTCATAGTTTTTTTTATGAATTCTCGGTGATATAGTTTCAGAATGTCACATATTACTCATAAATCTTATGTTGGGTGACATATGCCTCGTTTGAATATGTAACCTACAAATATTGACCTGGGTGACATTCCTAACTTCCTAACCTTAATTTGGGTGACATCTATGTCACTTGCTGATATGTAGTGACCCTGAGCTCCTACACCTCCGATAGGCACACTTCGTCTCACAAAGTCCCCCGCTTGTTCTTTCATAGCCTGTCGAGGAGATACATACTTTGACAACCAAAAATATAGATCTACATTTTCTTATTGAATTTCAATGAGTCTTTTTGCAAAAAACGTTCAAAACCTATCCTGAAAATTTGTATTTCCTGTGAACTCCCGTGCATGGTAATAAAGACTTTACCACTTGCTTGCATTTATTATGTAAATTGAAATATGTCAACACCCGTATATGGTAAACAGGTATATAAAAGTAGTTCTTCCTCATTCTACAGAAACATATCCTTTTTTTCAAGGGGAAAATAAACCTGTCTTCACGTACCTAGGTCAATAGTGTTACCATTATAACCTATCTTGATAGTACGTATGGTAGTGATAATGTGGTGAAATATACCGTTGTATATTGTGGTGCGTTCACGACGGCGTAGTCGTTGAGGAAGAGGGATGGCTCAGGGTCGGCACTGTACATGTCCTGAAACAGCTTACTGGTCAGATCGTCGTCATTAGTGTTATCTTTCAAAAACTGATGATGTAAATCTTCGTTATTAACTTCCCAATGCGTAATCCTGAAACATCACACCGAATACTTATATTTCGACGCAAGAAAACGCATTGAAATAGGTATGATCTTTGTGAAATACTTATTTTAGCAGTATGTGGCCAAATGGTGTTAAAGGGAAATAGCAATAGTATTACATTTGCAATAAACAATTTATCTGTATGAATATGTAGATTCCAATTATATAAACCGAAATATCGCTTGATCGTGATAGCAGGGAAAAAAACCAATGACGTGAGTATCCCGATGAATGAGACGTTCCAATATGTAACGTTTTGTTTTGACTTTGACGTTAGAGTTTAGCCAATAAAATGACGTCTGATACTATACCGTCAGATATGATTTACAGTTATTCCAACAATTTACATAATCTAGCTACAGTTACCTGCCGTCGACGAGATTCAAAGTTCCTGTGATTCGAGTATCAAGCTTAGCCAACATAACTGTACTGTTAGTGATGGTCTATATCCAAGATGAGTTGTACGTCTGGGACCCCCAGAACATGGTGTGACCTCGTACATTTATTCTAAGACGAAACACTTTAGTTTATCAGGCAAGTGTATGCTATCATAATATGATATTTGCAGTGTTTTCTTAACTCTCAAATTTCATATATTTTAAACATATTTTAGTAACCGTCGTGGCTAAAATTGCTTTCCGTACATTCAATTAATTCTGTGTTAAATATTATTTCTGTTATAATTAACTTTAATAATTTGTATATTACAATACAATTCATATTGTACAGTGTCTATCAGGATATTTTTATGTGTACCCAAGTTTCTACTTTAGTAATAATAATATTAATGTGCAATATTGATATAGTGCCCTATTTAATTTGTAAAATTACTTTTAAGGCGCTTTACAACACATGAATAATAGTTTTCCTACAGTGACAGTTATAAATATAGTAGATAAAAAAAATCTCAATATGGATATAATAAAAATTTCAATAACTTTCATTGTGTTAATTGTTATCAATTAACCCATAATTATTTTTCGTTTGTTTTAGATTACCCGTTGTTTTTTAAGTCTGTCAGAGCTGTGTCCGCTTCATTGAAAACAATAGTTCCCTGGTAAAAGGAAAACAAACAGAAGGTCAGTGTTAATGTCAAGTATTTGGTTCGGTAATCAAACAAGTTTGTATCACTGTATCAAATGTGACACAATAATAAATTCAAAGAAGAGACGTAGACCAAACAAGAATAAGTTGCACTTCACGGAGACAGACAACTGTGCTTATCGGCTCAACCATATGAGCCCCTATGAAAATAACTCTACACACTTCAGATCACCAAAGGCTGTTCTGGCATATTGATCATCAAAAACCATCTATAAGATATTTTCATACTATTCAAATGTAGTGCCTCAGATGTATTTATGCATGTACATACGAATTTCAAGGCAGACGTGTTACAAAACAAAGGTGTAATGTGTTTAAACTGCCAAAATATATATCAATGAAGACATTTTAGATTATAAAACCTAGGTACATAGCCTTATTATAAACGTTTATACCTCTACAGGTTCCATTATTGTTCACTTCATGTCATTTTCCAGTACGACCCATTCCGCCTTCATCGTGTTTAACACAAAGTCCCGGTAGGAGGAGCTTTGGTCATTCCACGCACTGGCCTGGACCGCTGTTCCATGTCCAAACTGACTTTTAGTCTGGACAAACTGAAGTGCAGTTGCAGAAAAGTAGATGCAATGGTATCAATTCTTCGTCATAATATAGAAACGAAGGTGTTTGAGTAATGTTATTACCCAACAATGTTTTTTACATACCTTTTTTGCGCAATTATATTTACTTCCTTTTTGTAGTTAATGTCGCTGTATTTGGCCGTGTTTTGCTATAAACTGCAGTTGTGCTTAACTTTGTCTTTGGTTGTGTTTACCTCTGTACTGTAGTTGTGCTTACCTCTGTCTGTAGTTGTGCTTACCTCTGTATGTAGTTGTTTTTACCTCTGTCTGTAGTTGTGCTTACCTCTGTCTGTAGTTGTGCTTACCTCTGTCTGTGGTTGTGCTTACCTCTGTATGTAGTTGTGTTTACCTCTGTCCTGTAGTTGTGCTTACCTCTGTCTGTATTTGTGCTTACCTCTGTAATGTAGTTGCCATTACCTCTGTACTGTAGCTGTGCTTACCTCTGTCTGTAGTTGTGTTTACCTCTGTACTGTAGTTGTGCTTACCTCTGTCTGTAGTTTTGCTTACCTCTGTCTGTAGTTGTGCTTACCTCTGTAATGTAGTTGTGTTTACCTCTGTCCTGTAGTTGTGCTTACCTCTGTATGTAGTTGTGTTTACCTGTGTCTATAGTTGTGTTTATCTCTGTACTGTAGTTGTGCTTACCTCTGTCTGTAGTTGTGTTTACCTCTGTCTGTAGTTGTGTTTACCTCTGTACTGTAGTTGTGCTTATCTCTGTACTGTAGTTGTGCTTAACTCTGTATGTAGTTGTGTTTACCTTTGTCTATAGTTGTGTTTACCTCTGTACTGTAGTTGTGCTTACCTCTGTCTGTAGTTGTGCTTACCTCTGTACTGTAGTTGTGTTTACCTCTGTCCTGTAGTTGTGCTTACCTCTGTATGTAGTTGTGTTTACCTCTGTCTGTAGTTGTGTTTACCTCTGTACTGTAGTTGTGCTTATCTCTGTACTGTAGTTGTGCTTACCTCTGTATGTAGTTGTGTTTACCTGTGTCTATAGTTGTGTTTACCTCTGTACTGTAGTTGTGCTTACCTCTGTCTGTAGTTGTGTTTACCTCTGTAATGTAGTTTTACTTACTATGCGTTGTAGTTGTACTTTGCTCTATAGTATGACTGTACTTATCTGTGTAGTAGAACATAACTTACTACTGCAGTGAAGACAAATGTGCCTTAACCGTGCAGTGGTACTTGCTTCGTAAGATAGTTTTACTTACCGCTATATCATAGTCGTGCAAATATCTGTATTGTAGTTGTATATAGTAAAGTTAACCTTACCCCAGTGTAAAACAATCCCAGAGAATATCGCACTGTGACAATGTCCTTATTTTAACTAAACATTGATGAAACACGGGCAGAACAAAATTATCTGACAAGAAGACTATTACAAACGTATAAGGATAATAAAACTGTTACGGTCAAGTGACTTCTACTTCATTGACGACCCCTTCAGTGTAAATACATGCCAAACAATATCAACGCCCTCAAATCGAGAACTTGGGGTAGTGAAAACAAAACAATAAAAGAACACCAATGATCATAATTTGAAAATCAACCTTCCTATCGAATAAGGAAACAAAATATCTATTCCCGATCATGATGTCAACCTTCATACTTTTATGCATCTGTTATTATCAACCTTCATCTTCCGCATTATTATATTGTTAGTTTGTCCGTCAGCCGTAAAGATCAACATAAGAGAAATGTATCGCCTGCAAGCTCTGAATACCGAATCAATAGAGACATGTGATTACCGTAGGTCGAGTAGCTGGGATTTTATTATCGAGAATTGGACAGTTCTATAGTGTTTTTGACCATAAATAGCCTGGGATCTGTCTTGAAACGCTGTTAAAAATACGTTTGTAGGAAGGATGTTCAAAATCGACCGGATCTTGTGATGTTTTCCAAATCCACATTCTATTAATTTTACTGCTGCAATATACAGTGTAACATTGAGACTGTTACCCTGTGTTTGATGGTACTAAGAATGAGTGTGAATATGGATGATTGCTTGGTGGAGCAGCTAGCAGAATTAGCGATAAAATGTTGTTTCATAATCCAATACAAACGAGGCAGGTATGAACCCTCATTGATAATCACCATTCGGAAAGAGGGCAAAATACTGAAATATGATTTGCATGTGTCAGCTTTCGTTAGATAAAATTAGAAAAAATGAAGATTTCGTTGGTGATCATTTTAACCTAGAACCATCTTCTAGCTGCCAGATTTGTTACAGTGGTACTTCAACATCCTCTTATTAAATCGAATAAATGAAACAGAATTGTAATCCGAATATTTTATCACCATTAAGGTTCTAGTAAAGTGACGTCATTATTACGTTTTGACGTCGAAAATGACACTGCACCACACGTTTGTTTCGTCCTTTTGGACAATTGGAAATCCAAACTGATTTCATCTATTGTTGAAACACAGTTAAATGTGTATAATATGATGATTGTAATTACTCAAAATACATCAATGTGCCTATCAAAGTTTTTTACAATCCTCGGGAACTAAGAAATCGACCAAAGATAGTCTAACACCTTGTATCTCGGAGGATGAAAGTCACAAACTGTGAATTAAATACAGCATGCCAAATTGAATAACACTACACCATGCAACTGAACGTCCGTATCGTCGATGATGCTCAATAGAAATACTACACATATGTATTTATCTGCTGTCTTACATAGCACCGGTGAAATATATCCATCAACGCCACGGTCATGACCGGGTGAAAATATCATTATTGCCAATTCAGTCATTTCAGCTTACAACCCCACAGAAAACCAAAACAAAACAAAAGAAATTACGCCAAAGTTATTCTTACACAAAATCAAGCTTGACTTTTCGGTAAAGGTCAATGTTAGCCTCGGCAGTGGTCATCCAGTTCGGGTCTGGCACCAACTCTACCATACTTGCCGAATCCAAGTAGTAGTTTCCCTCTGCTGACATGACTTGTATATCCATGAAAATGTTCTTCAAGTCTGAAATATTATAAAACATAATTAACCTCATATCGAATGGAAATGACCATGACACAAAGTCATTAATTATATCGAGTTTCATTAAACATGAAGGAGGGTGTTCTGGAAAGTGGAAGGTATCTCCACCATATGCAAAATCTTTCATCATTTTTTCCATAAAATCTTGTAAAGAATTTTAGTCTCTTAAAATCATGCATTTTTCCTGTAATATTGGAGAAGCTCAGATAAATATCGGTTCGTGATGACCACCGTAATATATTACAGCTAGGTAAGTTTGACTCAGTAACATACTAGTCATTATGACGCATCTATATGTAATTTGACATGTAATCTCCATAAATAGAGGGGACGCTGATGAAAGGGAAATTATTTTTCGCGAAATTCAATGCGTAAGATTTGTAAATTAAATTTTGGAAAAGTAATATGAGGTTTCGGAGTCTTTCTTAAAAAATGTTAATTTTCAATGTAAAATTCCCTAGTTGGTAAAAATCCTATCCAAAATTCAATATCCTCTGCATTAGGAAATAGGTAATCGGTGTATTAGGTAATCGATCATGTAGAAGTGTCCTATAAACATAACGTTAAAAAAACAGAACACGAAATCATCATCAGAACGCTAACCAAAACAGAACACTACATCATCATCAAAACGTTAACCAAAACAGAACACTACATCCTCACCAGAACGCTTACCAAACAAGAAAACTACATCATCATCAAAACGCTAACCAAAACAGAAAACGGCATTATTTTCAGAAGGCTAACAAAAACAGAACACTACATCATCATCAGAACGCTAACAAAAACAGAAAACGACATTATTTTCAGAAGGCTAACAAAAACAGAACACTACATCATCATCAGAACGCTAACCAAAACAGAACACTACATCCTCACCAGAACGCTAACCAAACAAGAAAACTACATAATCATCAGAACGCTTACCAATCAAGAACACTACATCATCATCATAACGCTAACCAAAACAGAACACTACATCATCACCAGAACGCTTACCAAACCAGAACACCACATCATCATCAGAACGCTGACTAAAGCAGTACCCTTCATCATCATCAAAACGCTAACCAAAACAGAACACAACATCGTCATCAGAACGCTAACCAAAACAGAACACTACATCCTCACCAGAACGCTTACCAAACAAGAAAATTACATCATCATCAAAACGCTAACCAAAACAGAAAACGACATTATTTTCAGAAGGCTAACAAAAACAGAACACTACATCATCATCAGAACGCTAACCAAAACAGAACACTACATCCTCACCAGAACGCTAACCAAACAAGAAAACTACATAATCATCAGAACGCTTACCAATCAAGAACACTACATCATCATCATAACGCTAACCAAAACAGAACACTACATCATCACCAGAACGCTTACCAAACCAGAACACCACATCATCATCAGAACGCTGACTAAAGCAGTACCCTTCATCATCATCAAAACGCTAACCAAAACAGAACACAACATCGTCATCAGAACGCTAACCAAAAACAGAACACAACATCATCATCATCAGAACGATAACCAAAACAGACAATTGCATCATCACCAGAAGGCTAACCAAAACAGAACACAACTTCAACATCAGAACGCTAACTAAATAAAGAATAACACATCATCACCAGAAACCTAACCAAAACAGAACACAACTTCATCATCAGAACGCTAACTACAACAGAACACTACATCATCACCACAACGCTAACCAAATAAAGAACAACACATTATCATCAGAACCCTAACCAAGTCAGAGCACCATATTGACATTATTGTCATTAAAAACTCTAACCAACATAGACAACTACATCATCATCAAAATGCTAACCAAATTAGAGCAATACATCGTCATCAAAACGCTAACCAAAACAGAACACAACATCGTCATCAGGAGGCTAACCAAAACATAACACAACATCACCATTAGAAGGCTAACCTAAACAGAACACTACTTCATCATCAGAACGCTAACTACAACAGAAAACAACATCATCATCAGAACGCTAACTACAACAGAAAACAACATCATCATCAGAACGCTAGCTACAACAGAACTCTATATCAATATCAGAACGCTACCAAAACAGACATTATTTCATCATCAGAACGTTAACCAAAACAGAACACAACATCATCATTAAAACGCTAACTACAAGATAATCTATATCATCATCAGAACGCTACCAAAACAGAGCACCATATTGCAATTAAAAACGCCAACCAAATCAAAGTTCTAGGTGTCATCTAACCTTTATTAAAAACACTTTGTCATCCTCAGAAATCTTCCCAACAAAAGATCATAGTATCGCATTGAAAACATCCTCAAAGACAGAAAACATTGCCATCAGGAACCCTTTTCGAACAAATCACTATTTTGTCGTTGGAACATCTTCCAATATAGAACACCATATTGTCATCGGTAATGTTGCCAAAACAGTCCCATTGTCATCTGAAAACTAGCCCGAACAGAACATCACATTGTCACATTGTCATCTGAAAACTAGCCCGAACAAAACATCACATTGTCACATTGTCACATTATCAACAGAAACCTTACAGAATGGCACAATTACTTTTGTTCACATAAAAGACTAGGTTTCGGATTACAAATTACTCGGTTATTTCATCATAGATCAGGCTAGATGATCCTTTTGCATATACTTACTGTCCGGAAGTTTGAAATCACCTCCAACTTCGACCCATGATCCATTTCTCGTATACGGATGGAAACTAACCGGGTAGTAATATTGAGTGTCTGTCAAAGCAAACACCACAAATTATTATATATATATAAATAAATGTTCTCTTCTAGAGCTGCTATGACATAAAAGCTTCCCTGTAATGTATAAAGATTTCAAATCAAATTATGATTAATATTTAAGAGGGTATGTCTCTTATGGACGATAAACTTTCTAATTACTAAAAGATGTATCGGTGTAGGGAAAGACATCCTGTGCACTAGTGATTGTCTTTGTGTAAGATAGACTTCCTGTTTACCAGTGAAAATGATACAAATATTTAAGTATTACAATGGATCATTCAATTGATTTATTCCAGCATCTGTTGCTTGTATCCCTGGAAACAAATTCAATCACATTCATGTAATAAAGTTTATACATTCCCTTTCCACAAGTGCATTGATAACATGTTCTTCACCAAAGATTCAAGACTGAAATCCTTCATTGTGAATGGTTAGGTCCAGAGAGCTGAATACGCCGATAGTTGCTTTTGTTGGATATTTTAATATGATATTAACTTCTTTTAATCCCGTTCTGTTCTGGTCATATATCACACGTCCAATGTGCCATTTCAAGTGTGTTTGTGATTTTTTTATCTCTTTGATTTTAAGATAATTTATATATAGTATTAATAAACCCATTAACTAGCTACAAAAACGCCCGATGCGTTATATCTTTTCAATATTATATAACGGATTTTGATTAAAGGAAACTATACACCTGTCACGTAATTAGCCCTTCTGTATTGGATTAATGAAGGACATAAATCATTGGTATACTGAGTATTGATTGGTATTTAATTACAAACTCCATAGATATGAAATCTGTAATATATCATAGGTATGTCATTGCGGGTGTGAAGCTGTAAACCTTAGCCCTTTTAACCAGGCAGATACGTGTCATGGTCATTATCATTTTAATAAACGACAGCATATACGCTTACTCAACTACCATAACCTTGTACAGTGTAAAAAGGGATTAATTAAAGAAAAGACCTTCCCACGTTCATAAAAACAATTATTCCTACACGATATTTCTTATTAAGTGAGATACGTTGGTTAAATAAACAGAAAAGTTTTAATCAACGTTCAAAGAACCTTGTGGAACAATCCTTCATAGCAGTTTAATACTAAATACTTCAATACTGAAACATAATAAAGAAGTTAGAGGTACACTGCACTGTGAGTTACTATATAACAATCTAGTATATGAAGATAGAGGTACACTGCACTGTGAGTTACTATATAACAATATAATATATGAAGATAGAGGTACGCTGCACTGTGAGTTGCTATATAACAATCTAATATATGACGATAGAGGTACGCTGCACTGTGAGTTACTATATAACAATCTAGTATATGAAGATAGTGGTAAGCTGCATTATGAGTTACTATATAACAATCTAATATATGAAGATAGAGGTACGCTGCACTGTGAGTTACTATATAACAATCTAGTATAACTGTGAGTTGCTATATAACAATCTAATATATGACTATAGAGGTACGCTGCACTGTGAGTTACTAAATAACAATCTAGTATATGAAGATAGAGGTACGCTGCACTGTTAGTTACTATATAACAATCTAATATATGACGATAGGGGTACGCTGCACTGTGAGTTACTATATAACAATATAATATATGAAGATAGAGGAACGCCGCACTGTCAGTTGCTATATAACAATCTAATATATGACGATAGAGGTACGCTGCACTGTGAGTTCCTATATAACAATCTAGTATATGAAGATAGAGGTACGCTGTACTGTGAGTTACTATATAACAATCTAGTATATGATGACAGAGGTACAATGCACTGTGATTTACTATATAACAATATAATACATGAAGATAGAGGTACACTGCACTGTGAGTTACTATATAGCAATCTAGTATATGATGACAGAGGTACAATGCACTGTGAGTTACTATATAACAATATAATACATGAAGATAGAGGTACGCTGCACTGTGAGTTACTATATAACAATCTAATATATGAAGATGGAGGTACACTGCACTGTGAGCTACTATATAGCAATCTAGTATATGATGATAGAGGTACACTGCACTGTGAGTTACTATATAACAATGTAATACATGAAGATAGAGGTACGCTGCATTGTGAGTTACAGTATAATAATCTAGTATATCAAGATAGAGGTACGCTGCACTGTGAGTTACTATATAGCAATCTAGTATATGATGACAGAGGTACAATGC